TTTATAAATAAATGTTGGCTTCCCACCCCAGCCCTAGAGTGCTGAATGCCCAAGGAAAATTTAAAACAGTAATTGAGTGCATACCAAGCAGAGTCGTCAGCAGAGTTCATTCATTTGCATACAACACATTGTGATCCTCGGATAAAAGATGCTACATTTGTACAAAGTCTTGCTAATGTTTTTTACAAATTAGTCCCATAATTAAACTCCTGCAAATAGTAATTGCAAATACTTACTTCATTACTAAATAATTCCTATTCGGAAAAGAAAACTCCAGCTCATTTACTTATTTTATTGTTGGACAGATATGTACAATGGATCTTTATCTGAAGACATAGAGCACTGAGCTTTTGCTGAGATAAGTTAGGAACAATACTGAGATAAATTAGGAACAATGCTTTCAAATCCTGTGCACCAGAAAAAAAAAATGTGCTTCAGCTTTGCAGGTGTTGGCTGGAGGTGGGAGTTTCATGGTTGCATATTAACTCTCTGGCCTCCCCTGATAGCCAGGTGACAGCTGCAGTGAGGTTTCTTTGAAGTGTGACATTCCTTCGGTACTTCAAAGGACCCAGGCCTCTGAAGCAGGTATGTTTGCTGGCCACACCTGGTACCTGCCAACCCCACTGTAGCAGCTGGCGGACAGGAAGTTCCTAGGAACCAGCCCAGGGTCTCTCTGATGAAGTACATCTGACTGATACTGTTCCAAAATGGGAGAGAAGGGCCCTGAGATGAATGAAGAGTTTCAAGCTCTGTCCTTTTCTAAGGAAGCAATGCCTCCTCCACCCAGGTCAGCACTTCATAGCCGGGAAAGCAGCAAGTATGGAATTTTGACTAGAAAGTGCCCTTTGTGAAAATCAAACTTTATTCACAAAGGCAAGAGGTCTGAGCAGATTGCTAAAGAGAGACTTAGTTAAATGTGAAATGTGAGCAGAATGCCAAGGCTGAAAGAAAACTATTGCTGGGAAAGGTAAATGTGAAACCACCCTAATAATTGAATCCAACATGCCAAAGGGAGCACTTTGAGGTCAGACCTAGAATAGGAAAATAACCATGGCCTCGATCCAAGTTGGTTAAAAAGCACTTAGCACATCCAATATACTCCACACCACTGCCAGTCCCCCAAAACAACAACCTTTCGGTAGTTCTTCTGAGTAACAAATGTTTGGGGTTTTTTTGTTTTGTTTTGTTTTTTAAGACGGAGTCTCACTCCGTCACCCAGGCTGGAGTGCAGTGGTGCGATCTTGGCTCACTGCAACCTCTGCCTCCCGGGTTCAAGCGATTCTCCTGCCTCAGTCTTCCCAATAGCTGGGACTAGAGATGCCCGCCACCACACCCAGCTAATTTTTGTATTTTTAGTAGTCAGGGTTTCACCATATTGGCCAGGCTGGTCTCGAGCTCCTGACCTGGTGATTCACTTGCCTCAGCCTCCCAAAGTGCTGGGATTACAGGTATGAGCCACTGCACCTGGCCCTGAGTAACAAGTCTTACTGAGTCCCTACAGTACGTGACCTGGTGTCAGGAAGGTGAATAAAACACAGTGCTTCTCATTTATGGTCTGGTTGAGACTTTCAGCTGTACATCTCCCTGTCAGGCATTTAGCCTCTAAAAACAGATGCCTTCAAGTCCGAATCAGAGCCCTTCCATTTGCTATGAGTCCTTGGGCAAATGGACTTAATTTTTTGGTCTCAGTTCCACCCTCAGAGAGTAGCAATGAGGATAAGAGAGAATGAATGTACAATGACTAGGACAGTCTGGAGTTCAACAACAGCTCAACAAATATGAGCTAATACTCTTACAGCTATTACAAGGAAGAAGATGATAAGGTGGGATGTGGCCTTGCAAAAACCACTGTCCCACCCAGCTTATGGATCACATTGACTGTCAATGAACTGTATCTGCACTCATAACTCACTTGTTTCTGGAGGAAGAAAGGTCTTACACTAGCTGTTCATGTTCCATGGGAGAATGCTATGAACCTAGGAACCAGGTCTCTGGTGTTTTTTGTATGTTTGTTTGTTTTTGGTTTTTATTGGAAACAGGGTCTCACTGTGTTGTCCAGGCTGGAGTGCCATGGTGCAATTTTGGCTCACTGCAGACTTGACCTTCTGGGCTCAAGCAATCCTCCTACCTCAGCCTCCTGAGTAAGCTAGGACTAGGTATGCACCACCATGCCTGGCTAATTTTTGTATTTCTCATAGAGATGGAGTCTTGCCATGTTGCCTAAGCTAGTCTCGAACTCCTGGCTCAAGGGATCTGCCCCACCTCCTTAGCCTCCCAAAGTGCTGGGATTCAGGCATGAGCTACTACATCTGGCCTCCAGTGTATTTTCCGACAGCATCTGGCATGGAAGCCAATGCAATGGACCTCACCCTGCCAAGGCATGGCAGTGAGTTGGAAGAGCCTATACTGCCCCACCCACTACCTCCCAGTAGCATGCACGCACAGTGCTCAGCTCATGGGCTTGCGGTGAGGATTAAATGAGATCGTCAGGGTGATGCTCTTAGTGTAGTGGCTGGCACATACTAAGGATTCAATACTTGTTTACTCCTCTTATTATATTAAGATAGAACTATTGTCCCTGGAATAGCAAGTGATTCTTTTTTTTTTTTTTTTTTTTTTTTTTGAGACAGTCTCACTCTGTCGCCCAGGCTAGAGTACAATGGCACAATCTCGGCTGACTGCAACATCCGCCTCCTGGGTTCAAGCAATTCTCTGCCTCAGCCTCCCAAGCAGCTGGGATTACAGGTGCTCACCACCACACCTGGCTAATTTTTGTAGTAGAGACTAGGCCAGGCTGGTCTTGAACTCCTGACCTCGTGATCCACCCACCTCGGCCTCCCTAAGTGCTGGGATTACAGGCATGAGCCACCATGCCTCGCCAGCAAGTGATTCTTTTCCATAAATACATCCATTCCCATCACTGAGCTAGCCCTTCCATATAATGCAAGATAACTGTAGAGAGAAGACAAAGGCAGAGAGTGGAAGGCTCATTTAGCTTTGCATCCTCACATGCATTATAGAATATGGTCAGAGAATAGCTTCAGAATTGAGAAAGATCTGGGTTGGAATCTTGACTATACAGCTTAGTAACCAAATTACTCAGCCTCTCCATGTCTCAGCATCCTCATCTATAAAATGGAGAGAGGGGTTGTACAGATGAAACATAAGGTATGTAAAATATCTAACCCAATGCCTGTCAGAACACACCTAATAAGATACACTCATGGCACCAACTTTCTCTCATGGTTCTCTCTTCAAGCATGTTATATATTCCCTTTCAACGAGTACTTTGTAAATTCTAATGGCTATAAAAATTAGCTTGCAAAATAGCATAAGATTGCATGATGGCAAACATCATTGCTTTCCTCCAGAAAGCATGAGCTAGAGAACCTAGCACGGCAGCATATCAGCTGTGCTTCCCATCCAGAGGTAAGGCTGGGCCCAGCCAGAAGGGAAAGGCAGAAATTTACTCTGATTAACACCAACCCTTCTTTTTGACTACCTCCCAGCAACTTTGTCTCCATCACCAACTAGGCAGTACCTTCCAGGCCTTTAACACATGCGCGCGCGCGCGCACACACACACACACACACACACACACACACACACAGAGAGAGAGAGAAAGAGAGAGACCTACATTTTATTTATCCCCCTCTTTTCTTCACATAGGTAGGAGTATGTAGTATGATGTGGTAGAAATGGCCTGAGCTTTGAAGCCAGACACACTGGTGATTTCCCAAAGGAAACTGGTTCAAATTGACCCCGTTTTGCTAAGGCGTCATCCCAGCCATTTCTACCTTCTTTGTCAAGGTTAAGGCATGTACAATCTCTCACCTAAACCTCATAAAACAACCCCTGTCCAGACTCTTCACTCCACAACAATTCTCCTCTGTTCATCTCTCATTGGCTGCCATGAAGATCTATGTCCACATTTTACCCACCTCCTCCCCCACTGAACAACAATTCTGTGAGTATGGCAGTGATGAATATTAATACTGCTACTATCACTGTTATGACAGCTTGTCTTTATTAAGGCATTGTGCTAAGGGGTATGGATATGTTAAATCATGTTATTTCTCTTAACCCTGTAAACTGAGTATTATTTTTCCAGTTTTACAAATAAGAAAACTAAGAGAACTTGGGTAACCTGCCCAAGGTCATAAGTCTCAAATATAGAAGCTCTGGAATTTCAAACAGGTTAGTTCATTCATTAGTATACCCATCAATTCATTCCCTCAACATTCAAAATAGTTTTTGAGTGTATTCACTGTTCCAGGAACCAGTGAAGCTAGGTTTTGGTTATCAATAAACAAGATGGCTGCTATTCTTGTCTTACAGGGATTTATCTTCAGTCTGATTCCAAATCCTGTTTCTTTACCACTACATGTATCCTTTCCCAAATTAGGGATCAAACAGTCATACTAGTTAGTATAGTATACCTTAACCTGGAAAAGGACTGACACCCTCACTTACCTGGAGACTATAGCCTGATATACCCTGCCATCACCTTTCACAAGCAAAAGGAAAAACTTCTAAATACTTCTAGAAAATTCAGACTATATTCTGAAAGTACAACTCTGGAAGCCTGGGACCCCTGCATTCTAGTTCTGCTCAATTTGAATATGGCACTAATGTGGGAGTCCATGAGTGTCTGTCACTCACGGCTGGCCACACCCCCTATTCTTGCACAGTTTCCCTCTCTGCCTGAGGAAAGTATTTCTAACAGATATTTCAGTTCACTTCCTTGTCAGGCTGGCCTTGCCTCCCTTCTAGGATTATTTCTCTAACTGTCTACTACACACAGCCAGGCCACACAGGTAGGTTCCTACTTAGTATTTTTGTATGATTTCAGAAACACTGAGAAGCTAACGGTACCATCTCCTTCTCCAGGGCTACTGCACTGCCCATCTCCAGGGACACAGACAACAAGGTGTGACAGGTGCCCCTGGGAGAAGAGGCTCTGTCTCTCCTCTCCCACAATACACTATTAATTCCTTACATACTCCCAGATGCCCCCAGATACACCAACCTTTCCTTCTGCATTTAGAAAATTTTAAATGTAAATGCCCTTCTAGAAGATCATATTCGGCAGACGGTGACAGACGGAGCTGCGGACCCAATCGGAACCTCTGGCTTAACAGTGATCATGTTTCTCCAGTATTACCTCAGTGAGCAGGGAGATTGGGTCTATACGCTGGAGAAATTTGACCCGATGGGACAACAGACCTGCTCAGCCCTTCCTGCTCAGTTCTCCCCAGATGACAAATACTCCCGACACCGAATCACCATCAAGAAACACTTCGAGGTGCTCATGACCCAGCAACTGCACCCCGTCCTCTGAAGCTCCCTTAAACTGATGTCTCTTCTGCCACTTGTTACCCCTCAGAGACTCCGTAACCAAACTCTTCCATCTGTGAGCCCTGATGCCTTTTTTACCAGCCATACTCTTTGGCATCCAGTCTCATCATGGTGATTGATCATGCTTGTGCGAGACAATCATGGTGGCATCACCTGTAAAGGGAACACATTTAACTTTTTTTCTCATAATTTAAATTATTGCAAGATTATTAAAGATAAAATTATTTGAAAAAAAAAAGTTCATATTCACACTAAGAGTCAAATCTTTTCCTGATGATATTTGGGGGTGGGAGTGGTAGAGAAGTGAGGGTGGAACACTTTGTGGCAGCCAAAATTGAAGGAGAATTTGGAGCATAGAAAAAAGTACTGAGGGCTCTGCACGGTGGCTCACGCCTGTAATCCTAGCACTTTGGGAGGCTGAGGCGGGAGGATCATGAGATCAGGAGATTGAGACCATCCTGGCTAACACAGTGAAACTCCGTCTCTACTAAAAATGAAAAAAAAAAAAAAAAAAATTAGCCGGGCATGGTGTGGGCCTATAGTCCAGCTACTCTTGGGAGGAGGTGCATCTGCTTTATTGTTGTTGTGTTGTTGTTGTTTGTTGAGGAATGGTGTGAACCTGGGAGGTAGAGCTTGCAGTGAGCCGAGATCGCACCTGCACTTCAGCCTGAAAAAAAAAAAAAAAAAAATTAGCCGGGCATGGTGGCGGGCACCTATAGTCCCAGCTACTCAGGAGGCTGAGGCAGGAGAATGGTGTGAACCTGGGAGGTAGAGCTTGCAGTGAGCCGAGATCGCACCACTGCACTTCAGCCTGGGCGACAGAGCGAGACTCCATCCCCCCACAAAAAAAAAAAAAAAAAAGAACTGAGGCCACCAGGGACAGATATTGCCCATGTCTGACCCCCTATGCCAAATTTGGGCCTGGTTTTCGAAGTCACAAATACCTCAAACCAAGGATAAAATATGTTGAAATATAAGACACTGCTTTCTTTCCCTGTTCTTCACTTGTAACATCCCCCCCACATAAAATTCTGACACACTTTAGAGGGAAAAAAAAAGATTTTTATAATGCCAAACCATCATATATTTTCTGGTTCTCAGAAGATTGATTGTAATGTGTTCACATGCATATGATTTTAAGGAGACAACTCAAGTTTCAGCAAAGAGGCATTCCTTGGTCACGTTCATAAGAAAATATAGCCTGTCTTTCACGAATAAGATGGGTTTCATTTAATATTCATTAAAGTGTGACTTACTTTCAGCTCATAAATCTTGAAAACAGATTCTGGCCCCCAGTGCACTATTTTCATTGGCTAAGTCACTTTTTCTTTCCCTGACACTTTATAGTTTGTGTTTCAATATGAGACACAGCTAGTTTTGCCAGTGGGGGTTTCTGGTTTGACTTTACAAGAAAACACTGAACAAAATCCTCAGACTCACAACAGGTGTTCTATTTTCACCTCATGGTGAAATAGTACATTGTGTAGTAATGAAAAGGGAGTGCAAAAGGTAAAACAATGAAATATCCAGCCCAGCAGGATAGAAGATCTGAGATTTGGCTGGTTGGAAGTTTCAGAGCAGCTGTCATATTTGAAAGACTAAGTGCACATCTCTATAAATGCACTTAGTTCATCTACCCCTTTTAAAGAAATCATCATTGCTAATGACATAAACTTGATAAAGAATGTTCAAACTCAAGTTGCAGACAGAGTGTGTCTGACAAAGTTTTGGGGGTGATGGTGGCCAGAGAATGGCCATTTTTAACAGAAAGAGGATGCAGATCTCATTTTTATTTTTTATTTTATTTTATTTATTTTATTTTTATTTTGAGGATGCAGATCCCATTTTTCTGTAATTTTCTAACAATGCTCTATGTGGCCTAAAATCCAACCAAATCAAGTTTCTGTCAAGACAGAAGAGGCAGGACAGCCAAGGAATTAAGCATAAAGGACACTCTACTGTGAGAGCTAGCCTTGACTTGACATGTGAGTAATGCCCTCCCTATATTGGGCTTAACTTCCAGGTAGCTTTTTAACTAAGGGAAACAATCAAAATAAGAATGATGATGACAATGTTAGCTAAGATTTATCAACTGCTTAATGTGGATCAGGCACTATTCTAACCACTGGCTCATGGTCACACAATTAGCAAGGAACAAGCCAGGATGAAACAGCTAAAGAGGAAAGTTTTGGACGGGCTCATGAGTACAAATCATCATGAACATTATGTAGCCTCTTGTTAATGTTCTTTGCCATTAGGTGTCAGGAAACGTAAGACCTCAACCAATCTTCATATACAATGAAGTGATATAAGAAGATCTGGTAATCCAGGGAATCTCAAAAGTTCTTCAGAAATGTTTAACCTATTTCAAAAATTTGAGTTACTCTGAGCACACTATTCCTCATTACAGAAAGTGCTTAATAAACTTCTGTATGCTCCTATTACTATTTTTCACGCTCTAAGTGTATTGTTCATGTAATCCTCACATAAATTCAATGAGGTGGGTGCCATTATGATTCCCCTTTACTGATGTGGAAACTAAGAAAAGGAGAGGCTAAATAACATCCCATGTTTACACAGTTGAGACATGGTTTTCCCGGGATTCCAACCTGGACTCAGTACTCAGGGACAGGATACATCTGTTGTGTTCATTGTTCAGTCACATACCTGGAACATCCATGTGTTGAGTGATAATGAATAACTGTTGCTTAACAATATTTGTCAAACTGAATTAATATTACTATCAGACACTAATGTGAGTACCCAAAGACTCTTGTTTCCCTGACTACACGTAAATCTTTATCCCTTTTGGTGTCTCAAACCAATAAATAATTCCAAGGGGAAAAACTATATGATCCTAACTAGTAGGCTCTTATTCTCTTCTCTCTCTGCCTACTAAAAAAGCCTACTCGTGGCCGGGCATGGTGGCTCACACCTGTAATCCCAGCACTTTGGGAGGCCAAGATGGGTGGATCATGAGGTCAGGAGATGGAGACCATCCTGGTTAACATAGTGAAACCCCATTTCTACTAAAAATACAAAACTTAGCCAGGCGTGGTGGCGGGCACCTGTAGTCCCAGCTACTTGGAAGGCTGAGGCAGGAGAATGGCGTGAACCTGGGAGGCGGAACTTGCAGTGAGCCGAGACAGCGCCACTGCACTCCAGCCTGGGCAACAAAGCAAGACTCCATCTCAAAAAAAAAAAAAAAAAAAAAAAAGCCTACTTGTTTTTTCAGGGTCTAGTGTTCTCTTCTCTGGAAGATTTCTCTGATCACTGCAACAAACTTAGTTATTTTCTCCTATGTACTCTATAACCAGAGATCTTTATATTTAAATGTGCATACAGGCCGGCCACAATAGCCCAAACCTGGAATCCCAGCACTCTGGGAGGCCGAGCCAGCTGGATCACTTGAGCCCAGGAGTTCAAGACCAGCCTGGGCAACATGGCTAAATCCCGTCTCTATTAAAAAATACAATGATTAGCTGGGCGTGGTGATGAGCACCTATCATCCCAGCTACTAGGGAGGCTGAGGTGGGAGGATTGCTTGACCCCTGCAGGTCATGGCTGCGTTGAACCATCATCATGCCACTTGCACTCCAGTCTGGGCAACAAAGCAAGACCCTATCTCAAAAACAAAAGTGCATCCAAGCCACCTAGGGATCTTGTTAAGAGACAGATTCTGATTCAGTAGGCCTGGGATGGAGCCTGAGATTCTATATTTTTAACATCAACTGATGCCAATGTTCTTAGCCTTGGTGCCACACTTGGAGAAGAGCAAAGCTCTACATCACTTCATCGCATATGAGGATCAGTTGAGGACCTCACTTGCTTTGCTATACTGTGAGTTCCTTCTGGGCGGGAGCTCTTTCTTACTCTTCCTTACGTCTGGCACAACATTCTACTTCAGTTATTTTGAAGCATTCTCGAAATAAGAGGAACCTGTTGGCTTCTCACCAAAATCCTGGAATTGGAATCTGGAGAACCAATTTCACTATCCTGCTGTAGGCTTGGAGAACTTGAAAAACTTGCCCAGAATTAGCAGGTGATCCCAAGCTCCTCTTGCCGATGGTCAGATTTGTAGATTTTATCTGCTCCAGTTCTCCCTAATGAGCCTAGCATCATTCTTAGCCAGTGGTGTAGTCCCAGAGGACTCTGGGGAAATGGGCATGTGTGGACATCTTAGCTGGTCACAGTGGCTGGGGAGCGCCTGGCAGTTAGTGAGCAGGACACGTGGCACTACTGTGCAGGACAGTCTAACACGAGAATTGTTTTGCCCAAAACACCAGGAAGGGAAACTCACAGAAGATAAGATTATGCCCAAATTTCAGGCTTGAATTTGCCAGCAGCAGAGAAGCAGCACAGCTAGTGGTTAAGAGCCTGGACTGAGATCCAGGACCTGCCCCTATTGGCTCAATGGCCATGAACAAGTGACTTCACCCCTTTTCTGTTCCTTCCTCTGCAAAAATGAAGATTTTAAAGATCATACCTATTTCACCAGCTGGTGGGAAGGTTTAAAGGAAAAACTGCATATAAAGTACACGATGAGCTCTCAGTAAATACAACACATCATATTGTCACCATCACATTTTTTTGTTTTGCGTGTTGCTCATTTCAAACATGGTAATGATTGGAAATGGTCAAATTATTGGTCATCTCCCATCTAAACAAGAGAAAATCCATTTTGTCAAAGCCAGCCTGGCTGGAGAGGTAATGTTTGTCTCCAGAGTCTGTTTTGGGTCCTGTTTCTCCTCCCTCTACCCACCACTTCCTTCCTCAAGCACCACTTTCCTTCCTTCTGGAGCCCTCTGGCTACCCAGGAACACCATTTCAGCCCCAAATGGGGTAGCAGTAGGGCTGGGTTGGGGTTTGACCTCCCAGAGCTAAGTGCCCTGGTTTTCTTCTCTTCCTTTGATAAAACTCGCCCAGTATATTCCTCTGAAACTGCTGCTACAAAATCTTAATACCCTCCCAGGGAACTTATTTGTACTTTGGCAGAGCCCTATACAGATACAATCTCTTACCCAAGAAAAAACTCAAATGGGGAGGGATGGGGTGGGGAAGGGGTTACTCCCT